TATATATATATATATATATATATATATATATATATATATATATGCGTCACATAAAGAAACCTCCTGTCTCCTTTTGGTCCCCCCAGAAAAACATGCTGTAGGTATCTGACCTTGGCCGCCTAGGCGGCTGCCACCGCATTCTTGAACATTTCTCGTAGCAAATGTGGTCATCTTGAGGAGGTTGAACATTGCGCTGTTTCAGCTACTCAACTTACTAGAGAAAGATGAAATCCCAGGAAATTTACCATTTACGACACTTGGGACTTGAAGAGATGAGATTCAGAAGCAGGGGGCTCTTGAACATTTGGATGTCCAAAAACTGACCATAAGTGCGATTGAGAACTCAACTAGAGGTCTTTGTGGAAGGTCAAGCAATGATATAAAACCAAAGAATAAAATTATACAGTGGAAAGTAATGTTATATTATAACATCAGGCACTTGTTTGGATTTTGAGACTTGTGGACGGTTGGGAAGTATAGATGGGATGACTGTTATGAACTCTCTCAAACATATGTGTTAACCAAGTGACAATGAGTGTCTTAATTACGCGAATGCAACCAAAAAATGTTGAGTTTGATTCTATAAGCTTCTGTGCTATTCCTCATGAGAGGTGGGACGGTTTCACAATTTTGGCTAGTTTTTTTGTGGCTCTTGGACAAGAATGTTATTCAGGCATTTTGGTGCCATAAGGATGGGTTTTATTAGTCAATTTGTATCATAGATAGAGAATAGGTGCGTGCCAGGTACGATTGATTTTACATGGATTTATTATTTCTTAATAGAGTTAGAATTTAGTAGTACTGTGCAATGTCTTTAGAAGGTTCTAGAGAGCTGTATCATTCTTGGGAAACTTATACTGTATCCAATGCAAAAAGGAAAGTAAGTCTGGTGGTGGATAGCTTGGTGAAGTTAGTTTGGGTTTAGCTTGGTGAAGTAAGTTTTGATTTTCTGTTTGAATCATGTGTAAAAGACTTAGTGCCCCCTCTTTGGAACTTGTGGTCCACGTTGACCATGGGGTCTATGAAACCCCATGGGATCCTTCCAAATTTTGAACATTGGACACTAAACCCCCCTCCCTATCCATTATATATACACATACTCTTCTACTTAATAGCACCATGGTCCAAGATGTTTTTTTCTCACCCTTTTCCAAGCACCGGGGGACGAACCAGGAAGGGGTGTTTGGGGAACACCTTATATCCATTTTCCAGCATTTCTGGGCCCCCAGACATAACCTGGCGAATTTCCTGATGTTTGGGGTTAGAGTGAGAGAAAATTGTTTTCGACTGTGGTGGTATTAAGTTAAACAATATGGATATAAAAATGCAATCTAGATGTTTAGTTTTTAAAAAATTAGTGGGGGTCCATGGGGTTTACATGTGCCTAAGTGTCTCTATGGTAAGTGTTACAAAGGGGAACTACATCTTCCTCTCTTCAGTTAACAATTTCAAAAAAAAAAAAACTACATCTTCCTCTCTTGAATCAATGGGGTAATTATAACTCTACCAGTCCATCGCCCATGCTTTGCATGGCCAAGATGGAGAGAATCTCCCACATTGGTGCTAGGATCTCTCGACCTGCGTGGCAATCCTGCATATGAATGTCGCTCCTGGAAATTGATTTTGAAGGGCATTTGAATTTTGGAAATTGAAGTTTTGGAAATCGCGTATTCCATGGAAGTGGATATTGTGGGTTCCATGGTCACCCATGGAACCTGTAGTATCCATTTCTCAACGTTAAAAATAGTACAAGTAGATACTGCGGCATCCACTTTTCATGTAGCACTTTATGTTAGCAAATATTGTAGCACTTCTCTATTATATAATGGGAAGTGCTATGTGAAAAGTGGATACCGTGGTATCCACTAACGTTATTTTTAATGTTGAGAAGTGGAAACCACGGGTTCCATGGATGACGATGGAGCCTGCAGTATCCACTTCCTTGGAAGATGCAGTCTCCAAAACCACGCCTTCCAAAATTCAAATGCGCCCTTAGGGATCTTGATCCCCTCTTTAAAGACCAAGAGATGATTTTCTTTCTTTTCTAGCTAGTTAGCAGCACAACTAGTTTTCTCATATAGCTGCATTGCTAGTTGCCTCTAAAGGAAGAGATCCCTACTTAAAAGAGTATATATTGTTGGAAGTAGATGAATGGTTGGGATTGCCTCTATCATCGTGTCATGCACACACACTCAAAGCAATTAGTAGGTTCCAGGTAGTATAGGTAATACATGAAGACAATATAGGAAAGAGCCAATGCACACATAAATTATAGGACATGCCATTGTATAAAATAGTGTTTGCAAATGCGGCTTGGTTGTGGACTCGGGCCATGGGTAATCCAAGTGACTTGGACGAGATACCTAATGAGCCAAAAAACCTGAAAAAATTGTAAAAGTTGTAGAGAAATAGAAAAATCCCAAAGATATAGAAAATATAACAAAACATATACTGCATGGAATATGAGAAATTAATGGTATTAGCTTGAAAATATAGAAATCCCAAAAAATTGGAAAAATAGAAAACCGTAGAAACAAAAAAATATATAAAAATTAATTATAAATCACAGTTGAAGTTGATTTAGTAAAAAAGAAAAAAATCATAGTTGATTAGTAAAAAATAAATCGTTGTAATGACTTTGAACTTAGAAGAAATGAAATTGACACTAAAATTTTGAGACCAATCCCCCAAATTTCATTCTCAATGTTGGATCAATGCCTTCAATCATCGGCAAAGCTTCCTTAGACAACCTCAATCAAAACCCCAAATCAGATTTGACTTTTAGTTAGGCTCTCGGTGATACGAGTTCTTGAAAAATTTGGATGAATAGTTAACGTTTTCCTCAAAAAAAAAAAAGAAAAAAGAAAAAAAAGGATGAATACTAAATCCAAAATTCAAATTTCACAAATCCTTTTTTTTTCTTTTATTGTTTTGCATGCGCATGTGTGTGTGAAGATGAAGAACTCAAAATGGGCCTAGGGAACAAATTAGTCGAAAGTAGACCAACCATAGCAAAGAAATCACAACCTTTTATGATCAAGCAAAACCTAGTTTGAAATCTTTGATCTATCAAATCTGTCAAATTTGATGATCTTTCTTAGTTCACATCTATCTAGTGGATAGATCATTAAAAAATGAGTTTATGTCCAAAATTAACTCCAACTCAGTCTCTCTAGGTGTGAAAGATGGAAGGAAAAAGCCTCTTGGCTCCTAGATACCAGGGGAGGGGGAGGTGTTCGCCCCCCGAAAATCTAATTCAACTTGCCCTAGTGCGAACACTGATGTAAAATGCTAGTTGAGATTTATCATTAGGGAAATGTATATAATAAGACCATTTGCGTTTGGTGTAAGGAGTAAACAATTACTACTGGCCATAAGATGGGAAATCAAGTGATTGGGGATTTGTCACTGAGTGGGCTTAAAGTCCAAAATAGGGATTTCTCGAATGGTGTGACACACTTCAATCTATTGGATTTCATATCCAATGGCTAAGAGTGATTTTGACCAAAAAGTGAATGGCCCTATAGTATGCAATCCCCACTACTAAAATAAAAGTATTTTAAGTATCATGGCAATGGGCATCGACGTAGTGTTTTTAGGAGGTTTAGAATGCAGATGAGGGGTTCGGATTGCCTATGGCGATCCAATTACACCCACTTAAGGCAATTAGTAGGTAGCATAGGTTTCTTTGAAGTATCAAGGAAGAATATGAGATTCTCAAGCAAAGTTAGTCCTCCTATTATAGCCGGATTTGTGGCTAATTGTATATTTTCTAAAAAATAAATGATGTATACAATTCATGTTATACATCATGAACATCATTTAGAATAAAATTTTCCATTGAAATGTATTTAGAATTTTTATTGTAACTTTGTATGTAAGAAATTTATAAAAAGCAGGAGTTAAGAATTATACATTACGAAGTTAAAAGATAAATTATAGGATCTAATGTGGTTACATAAGCACTGTATTTTTAAGCAAGTTGTAGTTGAAATGCCTAGAAGTGGAAGCTAGTGGGCAATATCATCCAGTTTGAGCGTCTGTCTAATCTTTGAAGTACCAGTTAGCCTGTGGAGATACTGGGTTAGACCTTTCAAAGAGTTTGTTGGGCTTGGTTACTGTGATTTCATTAAGACAAGCATTGGTACTCGGCCACAACAACCTAGGGATGGTGTCTCATGTTGATGCTTTGACGCATCGACACCCTTACACACGAGTTATGATATAAAATAGTAAAATAATAAAGTTGCCTTGAGGTTTGAACTATAGAAAGTTGTGTGGTCTATCACCTTGCCAAGCATTCTCATCTGTAATGATAAGGGACATTTGTGAAGATATTACATGCATTTGTCGGAGCAAAATGTATATTTTCTTCCACAATAAAAACCCTAGCTAGGAGTATTTTAGGACACCAATTTTTTGGGATGTAACTTACCAAATGAGTGTAACGGAGATGAGGATGGTGAGATGGATGAGTGGCAAGACAAGAAGGGATAGAATCCGAATGAATCCATTCAGGAAAGGCACCAATAGGCGATAAGATGAGAGATGATAGACTTTGATGGGCTGGCCATGTCTTACGTTGACCCAGTACAATACTTGTTAGGTAGTTCAAGTAGAAGGATTGAAAAGGGCAAGGGGTAAGGCCCAAAAGGACGTGGTTGGAAGTAGTCCGAAAGATATGTTGACTTATGGACTCACTGAGCTTATGGCCTTAAATAGAGTAGAATGGCGGACCAAGATTCATGTAGCCGACCCCAATTAATTGGAAAAAGGCTATGATGATGATGATGAACTTACTAAACCTAACAATCAACCAAACAAGCGGATTGGGTATTCACTTTATATCTGCCTGATAAGAAACAATATAATAGGTTGAATAAAGACCTTTATAGGAATCCAAAATCCCTTTTTGTTCCTATTTGGTGATTATTAAGTGGATCCCAAGTGTTAAGATGAAAAATCTTTCTAAGTAGGTCATTTGCTGGACGGTTGTGTGTAATCCTGCAGTAGTCATGTAATCATGCAATAGTCACTATAGACGTCGATCATCATTAGAGCCCTTTCCCAACTATTTGGGGTCGGCTAAGTCACTCTAGGCGTTAAAGTTTTCCCAACTATTTGGGGTCGGTTAAGTCACTATAGACGTTAAAGAATTTTATTTTTCCTATTATGATTTGCATTTATTTTTTTAAATAATAATTTTATGGACATGCCTTTTCCATTCAGCAATATAGGATAAAGTACTAGACACCTTAGGCACATCTTAGACACCAATGCACCATATAGTGCTGGTAAAATATTCTAACTGGCGTTATGAGTCTCGTTAGCAATTTTGGGGCCCTGAATTGGTGGACAACTTGCTGAAGAGTATTGGTTGGATGAGCTAAGATGAGCTTGGTGATGTTATGGAGATTAGCCTCTGTTTTATGATAAATTGTTGAGATACAAGAGTTGTTAATACTTCCTTCTTCCATCTTCCTATGGGTACCAAACCGATGGCATTGTGCCTTGGCCAACGATGGGCTCACCAAATTAGATTTCCTTGGCCAAGGATGAGGTCACCAAATTAGATTTTTCTATTAGAACGTCCTTTTTACTTCTTTGATATGTGCCATTAGTGGATTTGTTCACCAATACAAAACTTGAATTTTTTTATTACACAATTTGCATTTTTGATTTGAGAATGGATAAAAGCTGTGTATAAAAAGTCGATAATAAGTTTTAATTTATAGCCATAATAAGGTAATTATTTTCATTTAAAAAGTACAAATAGTTTCATGAACAATAAAAAAGTCCCTTTGGTATTCCAATGTTGTCTATTTACTCTTAAAATCTTTTGTAACTTCTTGTTGATCAAGTCTATCTTGTGGATGCACGTTTTCTTTCATTATAGGGACCTATTCTTTGATAGTTATATATTGGAGCGGCTGGTGGGAATCAGATTGAGTTTCGTTGGAAGTGGTCCATTCAAAAGAAAATATTGCAGAATACCAATTGGTAAGTTCTATTGGAAGTGGTGTAACCCAAAAAAGAAAATATAGTGGAGAAAACTGATGAATAGCCAAGTGCATTTGTATGGCTGGTGTTCTGCACTGTTTCATTACTTTATAGTCTATGAGTGCTGTCTGGTAGTTCAGATCCAGTAGAAAACTCGTTTCTTCCTTTTTGACTTTTTCCGCCAATTTGGCAAATTTTGTTTTCCTTAAACACATGTTTTGAATCCTCCCTCATTCTTTTTCTATCAATATTAGAGGAGCCTAGATATTTTTCTCCTAGATGTTACCTCATCTTCAAATTGGACTCAAGGATATGCATAGCATTAAAGTTCTTTGTCTATGACAGATTCACTTATTGTTTGTGATTAATAGCTCTAAACTCATGATCAAAAAGGAAAAAGGAAAAACGAAAAAAAAGCTAATCCCCTTTTCTGGGATTGTATCCTAAATTTGTGTTTTTGGAGGTGTTTTCTATTTTTCTTGTTTATTCTTATTCCTTACCACTTTTTGTTTCTCTTGTGTTTCCCTGAAGTTATATATAGGGTTTTTCTAATGATAACACCCTATTAAATCCTATAGGTTACACTTAGAAAGGGGTGTGAACCGTAAAAATTATTATAGTCGTTTTTTTTTAATTATTCAATGTCTTTAAAATGAATAAGGGCAGTTTTGTCATTATAGAGGGTATTGTTGATATTTTCACTAAAAGACAAGAATGAAGTTCCAAGTACTTTATTATACAAATGCCCTAGTCTTTTAGTTAATATTTCAAATATGCCCTTCTCGAGATGACAAACATACCATTTGTCATTTAGTACAAATATCATCATTGCCCTTTTGAATGACAAGAATACCCTTATTCTTTTTACAGAAATAAGATTAAGAAAGGGCCACACGCACACACATATGTATATATAATTTTGTCTTGGCCAATCTAATTGCGAGAAACGGATTTGGTGAATTCTCCTTTTCTTTTACTAGTCTGGTTTTTGTTACAATCATGTTCCGAGTCTTTGGGATATGCAGTCTTAGAGATCCATTTTCCATGTCTTGGTACCTGTGTTGACTTTGTTGATCTTCAGGAGCAGTGCTGGAGTTGGAGCACAACACGCCGGCTAATTACTTTTTTCTGTCCTTTTGGGCTCTAACTTTTCTTTTTGCTTTTATATATTGGATCTATTTTTCTATGGAGTAGGTGTTATGACAAAGACTTTCCATGAAGTTTCCCATCCTAGTACTTCTCTTGCACAAGAATGGTTCAGCCCCAATGTTTTTGTCAAGTTTGGTCTGTTAATATTTATATTGGTGACAGAGATGTATTTCTATAAAAGTTTTTTTGTCCTAGCTATAGATTGTTTTGTTTGAGATGATCAACTTGAAAAAAGCAAATTATCAGGGGGAACTATGGTTTCTTAATCAAGTAAATTATAAACTGGAAATTTAGTCTATTGGGTGAGAAATGGCAGTGAACATTGTCAGGTACAAATGTTTTTTTTTGACTTTCAAGTCAGGTATAAATGTTCTAGGATGTTGCCCTCACATGGCAGCCTTTGAGATGCTTGACAAGGAATGAAGTTAGACTAATGCAAGGTAAAATGGCTTCTGAAAGAAGATGAAATGACGGTTTTGAGAAGTGTAAAAAGGGAAAAAGCCAGAAAAGTTGAGCAGATTTACTCTTGGGTTGGAGGCTAGACAAACAGGTAGAATCAGGGGCTCTATCAGGTGATTGCTGTTCTTAAAACTTTGATAGACTGAACGATATTTGAAAACAAAGCAAGGAACCTGTACTAGACATGTATATAGTATGATTTTGAGTTTCGAAATTCCTACATAATATTTTTAAACTACCTCGTAATTTCCCTGTTTTAATGGTATTCAAGATTTAGGCTTGGATATGATGGGCTTGACTCAGGCTTGAATGCTTTATGAGATCTGTATAATTTTTGTGACACAAGTTTTTGATGATGTGTTTTAAATATAAAGCTTCCTAGGATTAATGTAAGTTGTTCCCTGGTATTTTCGATGGATTTTTTATTCTCGGTTAATAATCCTCTGTCAGATTTGTTTATGCATCTTATCAGGTTGCAAATACAATTGTGTGTTTTTATTTTTTATGTGACAGGTGATATTGGGAAGTTAAATACCATAGGTGCCTTTACTGAGAAAACTGTGTTGTGGCTTCTAAAATGTTGATTGGGGGGGGAGTATTTGTGGTGGGCCCTCTTTGCAGTCTCATTGCATCGGATTCTGATTCCTTGGAGTATAGGAACACAACGAAGAGATGTAGGTGTGGTATTGAAATTCTAATATACCTCCCCAAAAAAAAAAAGGATAATTGAAATTATAAGGATCCAATCATAAAAAACAAAATTTGAAATTTTGGTTAGCATCTGGGGGTGGTCCATTTAGAAGCTTGTACACAATTCGGACGTTCCTATAGAACTATGTGTTATGCAGCTTGCCAGGGAGAAGTATTCAAGGTTCTTGATTTGTTGAATGATATTTTTTCTTCTCATTGTGAGGATAAGCTTGTAGTTAGACACATTTATGATTCTTTGGAAAGGTCAAAAGTGTGTTAGGAATTGTAGGATATGAAACAACTTAGCCATTTTCTTCATTAGACTGCTTATCTTTATCCATTTGTTCTGTATGTTACAGGTTCATCCTTCCTCAATGTCCAAATGTTGACAGTATGGTGCATAGCTGCTTTGGAGCTAATTCCATTTTCCAGCTACAATTTACAAAGAAATTGGCAGCTCTAGGAGGACTCGAGCATAGTGTCTTGTGGGTCGGCTCAACTTTATTGAGTTGATAGTATATGATATCTTGGAGTGAGTACTCTTGGCATAATGCATCACATTGTTTTTAAACAAGTGGTCTTTCCTGCTGTTTGCTGTTTTCCTTCTGGTATGCAAAGTTGTGGATTTTTCGTATTCCATATTTTGCACTAATGCATTATTTTTACAAAAGAAAGCAACACAATTGTAGGAAATGTTTTGATTCTGCAAACTGAGTTATTTAATGTACTCATACTTGCATACTGCCCCACATATCCTTGGATGTGATAATTGTTCTCTAGCCAAGTATTGCTTTTGGGACTTTATTTGGTGATTTTCCATCTCTTGAGCCTCAAGTGACTTGTATTCACTGTTGGAATAATGCTATAGAAGTTAGTTCTTGAAGTCGAGAACTTGAGCTGATATCAGGAGAGTGAGAGGCACAGTTCCTGTTTTTCAAAATTGTCTTCTATGAGCATTATATTTGCATACTTTCATATTGAGTAAATGATACTTCCTTATTGAAAAATATATACTTCTATAGATTTCACTTTGTGATCAGAAAAATATATAATTGTATAGAGTTCACTTTGTGATCAGGTTCTAGGTCTAATTGCGCCTTTTTATGTGGAGCTATGGGAGGATGATAGATACCTCAACTGTGTAGTTTCCTAACTCCAGTGTTTCTCTCTCAAGAATTTAGTAATCTCTGATCAACTTTTAAGGAACCTTAGTTTATCACAGGTTGGATTCTTTGATATTGAACCATAAATATGCTCATGTACCCACTAGGAAAGGATGTAGTAGCTATAATGTTCTACCCTGGTTTATTGATCTGACATCTTCCTTGTAAGGTATGGTGGAAATCGAAATCTACCAAATGTGCGAGTGAATGTATAGTGGGTGGGTTGAGGTGGGCTTAAATGTGCGAGTGAATGTATAGTGGGCGGGTTAAGGTGGGCTTAAATGTGCGAGTGAATGTATATCGGGGCAAATCTCTCTCTCTTGCTCTCACACACATGTAAGCCCCACCAACCCCTACAAATCTCTCTCTCTTTGTCTCTCTCTGTCTCTCTCTCTTGCTCTCTCACACACATTTAAGCCCCACCAACCCCACCCCACCAACCCCAACAAATCTCTCTCTCTCTCTCTCTCTCTCTCTATTGTTTTCTCTCTTTCTCTCTGTTTTGGGTGTGGTTTGTACAAGGCTTAGGCTCTAAATAAATAAAGTAAAGCACACTTTCAAATGGGGTTGAAATTTGTTTCGGCACTAGTGGTAGCCTGAAAATTTATTTTCATATCTAATTATAAAAAGCTTAAAAATAGTATAAATCGAGTACACCACTTAAAAATCTTGAAAATTGACAGTCAAGAAAATATATAACAATATGTACTATTTTCAGACTTGAAATCTGTTTTTTTTCATGTCTATGCATCTTGAGGTCGAGATGATCTATTTGAGGATTTTTGATCATTGAAACAACTTCGAATGAATTTTTGAGATGCACTTTATCTAAACTTTTTTTGAACTTTTTTTCTTTTGTTTTTTTTGTCATTTTTGTTTGCAGCACTTGGCATGACGCCCAGGCAAGCAAGCCCTATATGCCTTGCCTACGGAATCAGGCTCGCTCTCTATTTTTTTTTTTGAATTATTACGAGAATTTCATTGAGATAATGAGGAATTACAAGTACAAATACAAATACAACGAAAACAAAAATAAAATGCCCACAAAAGAATGAAAATAGGGCATAAAGAAAGAGCTAAGCCGACGCCTTTTTTGTTTTTGTCAAATATTCCAAGTTTTTTTATTAATGTCTAAAGAAAAGAAATTATATTAGAGGAGATAACAAAAGGCAGGGAAACACCCTTTTTAGCTAAAGAGTTAGCCAAAGAATTAGTTTCACGATAAAGAATTAGATTCACGATAAACATGAGAGAAAAAAATTGTCAGAGGTTTTACCAAATCCATGACTCGTTGTTCTTTTTTGCACCATTTAATAATATTTAAAGAGTCCCTTTCAATTTAGCAAGTTCTAGTAAGATTCCTATCAATCATAATTTTCATCCCACTCCGAAGAGCACTTAATTAAGCAAAATTTGCAGTTTTAACCCCTATAAGATCGGCATAGGAAAAGATAATGTTACCTAAACAATCTCTTAACACACCACCAATCTCAACAAATACCCAAGTTACTTAAGGAACTACCATCAAAGTTAATCTTCACGCATCCATTAAAAAGAGCAGTTAAAAAACTTCGTGGTCTACTTTCAACACACCTGAGAAAAAAAAGACTGCTGAGATTTGCCATAACATCAACCTTGGAGATACCCCATCTCTTTTTTGTCACGGACAACCAAGACCAGATCGAATGTTTGATGATAACTAATAGTCCCTCGAAAGGCAATGAACAACCCTCAAAAGCCTTTTTATTTCCTTCCTTCCAAATTTCCCATAGAATGACACCTTTTGATATTTTCCAAATAGTTTTGCCAATCGCGGGAATTGTGAGAGTAGCCCTTCAATAGATTGAGGAAGCACCAAATTAATCCCAAGAATCTCAAAAAGTCAGTACCAAATTCTTATAGTGAAAGAGCAATGAATGAGAAGGTGCGCACCAGATTCCTCATCAGCTTTACATAGTAAACAAACATTCGGTAAAAATTTCCCCATTTTGATCAGGTTATCAATGGTCAATATTTTATTCAATGATGCCAACCAAATAAAGGCTTGAACTTTATGCGGAATGGGCTATCTCCAAATTTGGGCATTCTGAGGACATGGCCATCTCCACCGATATTGAAAGAGGAGCTTGTAACACGATTTAACAGAGAATACCCCATCGCTCTAGATCTCCCAAATAATTTCGTCCTCTGCATTTACTAAGATATAGGATCTATCCAATAGCTCCATTAAAGCACACCATTGGGATAAAAGGATATTGCTTAAAACGACCATGTGCCAGAGAAATGTTCCATGACTTAAGATGGCCCATTCGTTCTAAAGCTTCACTAACTTTTATATTAGGTTGGGTTACTATCCTATATAACTCAAGAAAAACCGATTTCAATGGGTAATACCCCAACCATTTATGATGCCAAAAAGAAACTTGGCTATCACAGCCTATATTCCATCTAAAGTAGTCCAATATAATCGACATACAACTATAAATTGCCTTCCGAACCTGAGACACCTCTTTTCCTCGTCCAGTTCGAAGTCAAACATTAAATCTGTCAATCCCGTACTTTGCCAAAAGAATTTTGAACCAAAGGTTATTTTTCAAATGCAAACTGTGCCACCACCATTTGCACATAAGCGCATGGTTAAACATTCTTATCCTTCTTATACCCAAACCCCCTTATTTCGTTGGAGTACAAACTCTATCCTATCTTAGCAAATGAAATTTTCTCTTATCGATACTGGAACCCCAAAGAAAATCCCGCATCATGTTTTCTAATTTATTTGCAACCGAAGCAGGCATATTAATTAGAGACATTTGATAAACCGGGAGATTAGTTAAGCACGATCTCAATAGTCACCCTCCCACCCAGCGACAAATATTTGTGCTTCCAAAGATCCAATTTGACTTGAACTTTTTCAAGCACAATATCCCAAACTGCAATAGAAAGTTTCGAATCAGAAATGGGAAGACCAAGATAAGTAAAGAGGGAATGAACCTACCTTACAGCCCATCAAGTTTGGCAACTCCACTATCACTTCCTCAGAGCAGTTAATACCAACCATGGAAGATTTATGAAAACTAACTTTAAGGCCAAAAGTAACTTTACAAATTTCCAAGAATTTTGCAATATTTGACACTTGGACAGGCCCCGCCTTACAAAAAAATTAGGGTGTCATCAGCATATTGTAAATGGGAGATAAGAATATAAGAGTTAGGAATTTCAAACCATGTAAAATGACCCAAAATTTCCACCCTACTTAACATCAAATTGAAACATTCAGCATAGATTGTAAATAAAAATGGAGAGAGGATCACCTTGACGCAATCCTCTAGAGGCATTGAAGAAGCCAATGGGACTACCCTTAAATAAAACTGAAAATGCGTAGAGAAGAGACACCCAAAACTCCAACTTCATTTTTCACCAAAGCCCATAGCCTTTAGAATTTGTAGTAGAATACCCCATTCCACCAGGTCATAAGCTTTCTCCATATCCAACTTAATTAGAATGCCCGACTTCTTACTCAAAACTTTAGAGTGAATACATTCTTGAGCAACAAGTATACGGTCGGTAATTTGGTAATTCTGGATAAAGGCTGACTGAGTATTAGAAATGAGAAAAGGGACGACAATTTTCAGCATTTATGCCAAAACGTTTGCGATAATCTTGTATAGATTAGTCAATAGGCTAATCGGTCTGATGTTTGAGAGGCTAAAAATCATAGACTTCTTAGATATAAGAGTCAGGAAAGTGGAATTCACTCATTTAAAAATATGCCCCCCTAGTCATAAAACTTTTCGCGAACTCTAATAATTCCCCTTTAACCACGTTCCAAAATTTATGAAAAAGGGCAAGAGGGAAATCATCAGGTCCTGACACCTTATCTCCAAGTAATGCAAAGACTACCTTTTGTAACTCCTCACTAGTAACCTCACTTTCCAACTGATTTTTCATCTCCAATGACAGAATTTTGAAAGGGACTCTATTTAAAGAAGGGACATTTACTTCTTTCGTAAATGCCTTTTTGAAATGATTAATAATCAACATCATTCTCAGAGTTAATACCAGGAATCGATAATCCAGATAGGTCATTTTGTCTTCTTCTCGTACTGGCAATTGCGTGAAAAAATTTTGTATTAAGATCTCATTCTTTTAGCTATTTAGTTATGAACCTTTGCCTCCAATAAATCTCTTCTGATATTCGCAACTCTTCCATACATTTGAAGTTACGCTCCAAGACACACTATTCGGATAGAACACCAGCTTCTTGGATGGTCAGATCTAATGTTTCAATATCAAATAGCACTCTATCAATTTTGGCTTTAATGTCAAATTTGTTATCTCGTTTCTAGGCAATCAATTTATGTTTGATGTTTAGCAACTTACTGTGCAGTTGAAAGTCCAAAGTGCCTTCCACCACAGTATTCACCTATGTACCTCTAATTAGGTCAACGACCTATTTCTCCTCCAGCCATCCGAAATCTAGCCTGAATGATTTTGGGCCCCCTTTTAACATTCCTGTGTTAAGCAATATAGGACAGCGGTCCGACGAAAGTCTTGGAAGAACCCTAACACAAGATAAGGGAGACTCTTCCAATCATTCCATCGAAATAAGAAATCTATCCAACTTAGACATGACTAGATTAGAAATACTATTATTAAACCGAGTAAATTTAGAACCAATAATAGGGGGATCCATGATGGAATTATTCTTAATAAACCTATTAAACAATCTCATAGAGGTGTTAATAAGATTATCAACTAGACATTCATCCGGCCAACGAATTAAATTAAAATCCCCACCAACTACCACATGATTTGCGAAGGATTGATTGATATAGCTCAATTCAGAGAGAAAAACTTATTTCAAAGCCAAAATAGAGAGTCCATACACATTCACAAAACCCCAATTCAACCCCACTTTCAGACCATGGAAGCCCAGCAGCAAAAAATTATCCTTGATAATGGTGTCAAAATTCTGAATAACCGTGGGATCCCATAAGACCCACAGGCCACCAGAAGCCCCACAAGCATCAATACAAAAAAAGCCAATGGCACCAGAACCCCAAATCTCCCGCACCCCTGAGACATTGGGGCTAGGGAGCTTTGTTTCTTGCAAAACCAAAATCACAGGTTTGAATTTAGATAACAAAAAGAAAACATCCCTTTTCCTACAGGGGTTATCCATCCCCTAACATTCCAGGAAATGAAATTCATAAGAGAGGAGGGGGTTTGAGGAAGAACCTAGTCCATCAGAACCAAAGCCAAAGAACATGTCCTCCATCATCATAGCAGCATCCCGTTCTTCATCACTGAAAGATGAACTTGAAGCCGAGTCCACCTCCACCACCGAGTTATCACGAAACACAATCGCAGCCAACGAACCACCTTTGAAGACATCCCTAGCTTGGAGCCTTGCCGAAGAGCGAGAACCCTTCACAAAAGCTTTAATAGTAGCCTTCATCTTCTTAAAACTACCGATGGCTTTCACATGAGTCTTGGAAACAGAGGATGGTTTAAGATAAGAGGGACCATTACCTTTGGCAGTCCCCTCACGGGAAGACTGGATGTTGTTTATATCTTCTAGACATGAGAGGGGATGGTGAGGTGGGAAGTGGAGGAGCCAGTACAAGCAGAATGAGGGAAGCTAGAGAGTCAGTCGGAGGTTAGAGAATAGGGGAGAGAATAGAGTAGGAAGACGGGATTGAAAAAGGGGGAGAGGGAACATAAAAAAAGAGAAGGGTCTCGAGGAGGGACCATACACAGTCTATTGGGGCTGAGGTTGCTCTGGATTATAATGATCTCGAGGAGGGATATACTCGGTTGGGAACGATTCTTGTGTCCAGCTTGTGAAGAGTCTCAGGTTTCTTTAAAGAGACTCAATGGCTATTAATCATATGAATATACAGACTTATTATTTATAGACAATTATTGATGACACTAATAGAAACTAAATCACAGATACCTAAACTATACCCAGACTTACCATAATGTACATATACTCTACTAATCCTTCCCACAATATATACTTTCCACATTAACCTGATACACATTATATACTTTCCTTTCACACTCCCCCTCAAACTCAAGATGCCACGTTTGAACACTAAGTTGCGGAAACATGCAGTGGATCTTCAATAGTACGCCGAGCTTTGAGTTGGAGACAAAAGAACATACACCACTTATCTCTTACAAATCAGTCGGACAATCCTAGAGAGATAGTGGATCGGAGAAATTACTAAGAAAAAATCCCAAAAATAAAACAGATCAGAGAGTCGAAAACGACTCGGCAAAAGAGACATATCAGAGAGTCAAAACACAACTCGACAGATAGTCGAAACACGACTCGACAGAGAGGACAGATCAGAGAGTTGAAACACGACTCAACAGAGAGTCGAAACATGACTCGACATAAGTTGCACCGACTGGGTGAGCAACAAACTCATCCTGAAAATTGGCGATAATGCTTCAAGGATGAGGAATTGACACAACTAAGATGAACCTTGCTCGGATACCATGTGAATAGCCTCAGGTTTCTCTGAAGAGACTCAATGTCCATTAATCATATCAATCTACAGACTTGCCTTTTATAGACAGATGACAATAATAGAAACTAAATCACAGATACCTAAACTATACCTAGACTTATCATAATGTACATATACTCTACTATTTGCAAATATATGCTTTCCATATTAACTTGATACGCAATATATACTTTCCTTTCATACAACTTTCATGGTTCGTAGAGGCCCTTTCATTGGGACCAGGGTTTGTAGCCCCTGGATAAAGATTTTGTGGTATGCAAAACCATTAAAATTCAGGGGACAAGAGTAGGGAATGGAGTCGGGGTTAAGGGATTCAACAAGGATTATAAGGCGGCTTAAGGGGTGAGAACTTAAGGATTTCCAGTGAATTGAAATGAAGCCACCGTAGGAGTCCCCAATGGCTTTAAAGACGAAATCAGACCAAAGATGGATTGGAATACCCCAGAAAAGAAGTCATACCTTAGTTTTTCATTCGACGTCAATGAACTCATTCCATTTTCTGAGAGTCTCTGAAAAAATGACGACTAAGGCGAATGTTGGAAGGGATGAGAGCTCCGTTCGGCAAAGAGATAAGTTTCATTGTGTAAAGGCCTGTAGAAAATGTGGTCGTTTTTTGAAGATAGACTGGAACCATTCAATGATTCCTCTGATATCGTTTCTCTGAGCTAAGAAAGAATCTATTAAGAAGTTTTTTAAGGAAAAAATATGCAACAAAGTCTTGCTGGTTTTGGGGAGCCAAATATGAGGCACCCCATTGGATAAAGAAATTAGGGTGAAGGGGGAGATGTGAACCTTAATTGAACATGCAGGGATGTTGGCTATAGAAGAGGATGCAAGATGGGTGGTGATGCTTGGAGAAGAGGATGAAGATTGGGCAATATTAATTACCACAATATCTATAGAATATTTTTTGGAGTTAGAGACTTCCGAGGCAAGCTTGTTGGAGCCAGAGATGGGGAGGGGGCAAACAAGATTAATAAACTGACAGTAGAAGGGGTAGAGGGCAAGCTTGGGCTATACATTTGGTTGTCGATTTTGGCTGATATCACGAGCAGTGGCTTGAACGGTGTAACCCCTCAGTAAAAGGACCTTGACGAGCCATCGAGCAATAAAGCGTAAAGGTCCACTCACACATACTTCATGTTCATCCTCTCTCTAACTTTCTCTAGCTCTGCAAGAATAGTGAAATAGCCATGTTCTTGTTAAGGAAGATGAAGCAAATGGATCCTCGTTTGAAAAAACTGAGGTATCTCTTACGAGGCTTGCAAATGGATCTGCTTATAAGTCTGTAAGAGAGGATGCAGAGGGTTGAGAGAGAGTGGTGAGGGAGATTTGTGAAAGAGAATTGCATGCTTCAATTAGAAAAGTTTGTTTTGTTTGCACTTAAATAGGATATTTAAATGGAGTAAAGTTTGTTTAGGTCACACTTATATAGGAATTCATATGGTTTAAAGTTTGCTTTCGTTGCACTCGTAGAGGAACTTAAAAAAGGATTAATGTACATCCTCAAGCTGTCGTTTTTGGGGTTGTATCTCAAATCTCACCGGAAAAAGTTGTTTCGGCATGAAAAAAACCTTGATAGATTAAAGACAATTATAAATCTACAAAAAAAGATTTCAAGTCCTAAAAATAGTGTATCTAATAATGTATTATCTGAACCATTTCCATTCATAGATATGTCAAATTTGTACCTTTTTTGGCTTCAATTTTCATAATCATTTTATGGATAGCACCACAACTTTTATATGGATAGTGTAATATATGTAATTCCATGTGGAATAATTCCTCCATAAAATAATATATTACCACCAGGCAATATTTTTTGTTTCTTAACCTCCACTAAGCTCCACCTTATATGATAAATTAATATTTTAATCAATTAAGCATTGTTGCAAAACATAATTGGGCAATAAATAAAATTGGCAATTATTTCACTAGGTAATGTGGTTTTAGAAACCCATATGTAAAATTTGCAAGGCACTTGGGTTTAGAATTCCATTTTGTATTGTAACGCCACATATGTATATATATACATGTCCAGCCCAAAGGGCTGAGGTGAGCCAGATTTCGGCTTATGGGCCACGTCATCTCAGCCCCGAGCTGAGCCTGGGCCTGTACGGAGAACGGTTCGTCTTCACGTGAATCCACGAGTATATTACTAATAACATAATTTATTAAAGGACCCGGTTTTTATGCGGCTAAGCCCGCATATGTAGAAATGCGGACCTATTAATAAATCTATTTTTGAGATGAATTTTTACATTTAATTTTTAAGGATTTGTAATCTCTAACATGGAGACATGAATATCAAAAAATAAGTAAATTTTAAAAGTTAGAAATAATAGTTCTAATAAAAAAACATTTGAACCGTTAGTTTCCATTATTTTTAGATGGAACGACTACTTGCATCCATCTTAAAAATAGATGCTTTACACTTTTTGGACCGTATATATAGTCATGCAGTCCAGTCCGCATGAAACAATTTTCCTTTAATAAAATATAACTAATGACGACGATTTATCGAAGCAACAGTTAACCAGTTTATATAATTTTTAATTATAGGCCATCATACATAACACAATATAATTTATAATGTTAATGAATATAAAGAACCAAATTACTTGTTTCCGACACCGCCAATGCCATTGCATCATATGACCATCTACTCGTTTCTATCTCACAAGCATAAACGTCCATTACTTGTGATTCTAAACACATTGAGTCAAGTTCGGAAACAAAATCTCTCTTCCCTGTTACATCATAAAATTATTCTAGGTTACAGTCAAAATCACTAGATTATTTCAAAAACTACATAGTATTATGTAATATTGTTTAATTATTGATTTTTTAATTTTTGTCAGTTATTTTTATTTATTTTTGGATAAAAACTTGTGATTTTTAGCAAATTATTTTAAATAAAATAAAAACACAAGTTTTTTTTTAAAAAATTAACTTACATGTAAAACTGCTTATAAATTTACCTCAAATAATTATCTTACTTGTTCTCACCTGACCCTGTAAATAGGGTCCTCCTTTTCTGTATACTTTCTTATCATCTCTTTAAAAAAGAATGTAATAAATATATCTAGAAAAACACTTAAACCGTTGCTCCCTCTCTTCCTCTCACATGCGCTCGTGGGACCACGCCGACAAGTCTCTTCTCTATCAAACGCATGTTCGTACTAACAGAAGCTTTAGCTTTTTTCTTCCCTCCTAAACCAAGATATCTCTCATATTATATTTGATGTGAAATATGATAGTTCGAGTGTATCGTAAAGTTTAAAAATTTTTATGTATTTTTATGAATCCGAATAGTATGCATCGGATATATATTTGGATCTCAATAGTATACATCAGATTTGGATCTGGATCCTGATTACATATGCTATTTAAAAAGAATTATATATAAAATAAATATTTACTATTTAAAAAAATTGAGTTGACTTTTGGATCTGGTAAAAAAGTTAGGGCTTGTATACAATGAGATCATTTACCTTTTGTACAAGGAGGTCACAATTACTTACAACTATTTGATGTGAAATATGATAACTTGAGTATATCGTAAAGTTCGAAAAAATTTATTTTGAACTTTGAGCTTGGTCAATGAAACAAATGCAGCCACTCAATTTCACATTCAATGGTCTAGATTAATTATGACTACCTTGTACCAAAAGTAAATAGTATCTTCATATACTTTCTCAAAAAGTTATGGATCATTTTGTAGACATCCAAAATAAAATATTAGTAAGGATCATGGATGAACCAATAGACAATGTGCAGTAAAAGTAAATGGCTGATACATGCCCATTTTTTGCTGAACATCTATCTAAATTTAGCATGGGCTTCACTTTGTTTAAACACCAACAGCTTTATGTGCATGTTTCAATCAACTAAAGGCCATTGTTTTTGATATACAAGATAGGAATTCGGCAATTAGACCAAGGTTTTCGAGGGCACAAATTTATCGTTCTATCACCATTGTGTTCAGCCAAATTTGTAACATGAATCAATTTAAAGAATATCGGAAAATTCAATTTTAAAAACTATAAAAAAGGAATAAAATTTGCTATGTAAAATTAAGCACAACGGTCATAAATATCCAGTATAGATCATAATAAAGAGACACGAAATTTGTATGCGAAGTCGGTAAAAAACGAAGATCACTAACAATCAAAGAGAAATCATTAAGCTGAGCTTACAAAACCCAACGCATCATTAAAGGGGCCTACAGTTTGCTGGTTTATGCAATTTTTAATGGATTTTTCTTTTAAATAATTAAAATTGCATATTTTTTACCCCAACTTTTTGTACTTTACAAGTAATAAACACAACAAAATGGTAGTGAGATGTTTCATGAGATACTCACATAAGGATATAAGCAAGTAAATCAGAAATAATAAAAAGCAACAATAAACAGATTGAGATTGTAATATGTAACTTCCTCCATAAGAAAAGAAAAAGAAAAAAAGAGGTGATTTTGCTATTAACCTATATATAAAATTGGTGAATAGAAAAAGAACACTTGGCACGATGTGACTACCTCTACAAAATCATAGAATCCAAAACATGAGAAACTTAATTGCATATCGCAAATAGGAATAAAAATAGACCTCAAAGAAGTTAAAAAACAATTGATATATGACCCAATCATGGAATTCAGATCCATAGACTTCAATCAAGAGAGAGAGAGAGACCTAAATTTTGTAGAGAGAAAAGAGGTAAACTAAGCAAAAGAGCAAGAAAAGGACAAGAAATATGGGCAAAATTATAAAAATATATCATCAAGCTTGTTATTCACAGGTTGTTTGGAGTCTCACTGCGATTAACTAAACATCACGGTGGATATGAACTCCTTTTTTTATTATGACTAAAACAAGGGATTTGGAAGAACGAGATGCTCTCGCTTTCTTTGAAGTTTTAAACGCCCCATCTCGATAATGTTTCGAGGAGAAAGCGGCCCCCGACAAGTGCACTCCAAGCATACAGTCATATTGAAATACAAATCTGAGTCCCTAAGTTGCACAATACAAATATGCCTTTCCAATCGGTATGATATTTACAATTCAATATAAATTTGTCTCATTACAAAATTTATTATTCAATTGGTATATTATAATACAACATCGTTAAGATCATCTTCTCTCATTAAAAATTAGTCTTCCAATCAGTAACATAACGATGATAGAAAAATAGAAGCACATGTATATCTTACATATTAAAATAACAAAAGATTTATAAAACAGTAATTATCGCCTGAGAAATCAGGTGAGAACATAGCTTCAAAACATTTGCTTTCTGTCTCCAAGCTTCTATTATTAAATTCAATAAGAAGCACGCAACAAATTTTTCCACAAAAGAGAGAGAGTAGAGAGTAGAGACCTCACTGGTTTATTTCTTTACTTGAGACGAGAGAGAGAGAGTACATGTTAGTAGGGGAAGAGAGGCGAACAGAACGGAGGGGAAGCAAAATAAATAGAGAGAAAAGATGAGAGATTAGAGATTAGAGAATGAAGAAAGTGCAATGGAGAGAGAACAGGAAATGAGAGAGTTATATAGGCACCAACATGTGGAGAGAGTGAGAGAGGGCAACAAAAATGTAGAGAGGGAGTGGTAATGAATGGAGAGAGAGACTTACATGGAAATAGAGAGACAGCCAACTGACATGTAAAGAGAGAGACGGGGAGGAGCAATGACACTCTTCCTGAATTCGGCCAAGTTATGCACACCTTTTTTTTACCATAAATTTTTTTGTAACAAATTAGGAAAAATGTTTAGTGTTAATAGAAACCATTAAAAGGTTTAAAAAGATTAAAAAATATATAATATGGACTATTAAAATTTTTATTTATATATTGAATGTTTTTTAAAAGTTAGGAAGAAATATATGAAAGATTCTATATCATCCTAAAAACTATCAAAATCATCTAAATCTAAGCAATAAATTCGTCATTATTTCTATTTTAATTTTTAGGGGCTTTTTGTAGGGGACGATTTGGGCACCCACTCGCCCAAAACTCGGGCCGAGTCACAATCAAAATCACAAGAAAACTACTCCCTACCTCTTCAATGGAATATACAAAACTTAGGATATCATCATAGGAGCTGCACTTGAATTCAATCAAACACATACTATTAGGGCATGTTTGGATGGACGATAGTTAATCTTATCATGGACATATATTATCTAAATTAATATACTCTACCTAAATTATATGGGTTTAGTTTGCATAAGGTTGCAACCAAAAACAATCAAAGTAAGGCGCACCTAAAAATTTTGTCTAAAGATGTATGTTTGGTGTCCAAAAATCCTAGAATAGCTTTAAAATGTATTTTTATCTCTAATTACAAAATTTAAAATTCTAAAAATAATTAAGATAAATTAGATCTATAAATAGGTAAAAATCTTGAAAAAGAGCAATCTACATAATTCATTATAAGATGTACTATTTTTTAGGCTTGAAGTATGTTTCTTTTTCCATATCCATAAATCTTGAGTTTGAGATGATCAATCAGAAGGTTTTCCATCATCAAAAAAGACTTTTCCAATGAATTTATGGGGTGCATCTTACTAATTTTAGTTATTTTTAGGTATTTATAGCTAAAAAATACAATTTTTAGCAAATTACTTCGAATACAATATAAACATTTCTTCAAAAAATAGATTTATATATAAAATTGCATATGAAGATTATCAAAAATAACTATATTGATGTTGCCAAACAACCAAGTAATTCATTACTGCGGCTAGTTTTATTAAATAATAAAGTATCAATGATAGCCATTACACTCAAACAAGGGTTTAATTTGTATAAGGCTGAGGCCCTAAACAATCAAAATGAAGTGCACCTTCAAATAGTGTCGAAAGATATTGTTTTAATACTACAAATCTCTGTGATAGTCTCAAAATTTATTTCTATCTCTAATTATAAAATTTAAAGGTTAAAAAATAATATAGATCGAATAGATCTATGAACACTTGAAACTCTCGAAAATGGACAATCTAGATAATACATTGCAAGATGCACTATTTCCAAGACTTGAAATCGATTTTTTCTCACATCTATACATCGGTCAAGATGAGTGATTGGAAGATTTTTTAGCATTAAAACAACTTCTTCCAACAAATTTTAATTTTTTCTCACATCCATACATTGGTCGAGATGAACGATTGGAAGATTTTTTAGCATTAAAACAACTCCTTCCAGCAGATTTTAATATGTATCTTAATATGATTGTTTAGGACCTCACCCTCACATACAATTCTTCTCGCCCAAGATAAACTCGTAAGCGCCGTTCCTCCCTCGTTTTCAAGGATGCATTGGTGGGAACCCAGGCCTTTAAGGCCCTCCTAAACAACCAAAACTCTCCCTTTCTCTCTCTAACATATTTCATCTAAAGAGAACCCTTTTCTTTGTTTCCCCTCCTTAACCAACAGCTCTCTCTCTCTCTCTCTAACATGAATCCATGCAGATAAACACCTTTTATCTGTTTTTCAAAAATTAAATATAAAGCCTCTTGCCCGTCCTAAGCCAATAACTCTCTCTTTCTCTCTCGAACATGAATTCGTGCAAATATGCATCTTTATTTATTTTTTTGAAAAACAAGGTTAACGGTAACCCCCCTACAATTTCCTTCTCACTTCACACATTCATGTAAATAAGCACATTTAAGCCTTCCTCTCTCCCACCACCACCACTACCGAAATATGCATTTACGCGCATATTTAAGCCCACCTACCCCACTAACTATACATTCATGCACACATTTAAGCCCCACCAACCCCTACAACTCTCTCTCTCTCTTTTGGGAGTGGTTTGTACAAGGCTTATGCTTCAAACAATAAGGCGCACCTTCAAACAATGTTGAAAGATGTTGTTTCGACACTAAAAATCTTTGTGACGACCTGAAAATTATAAAATCTAAAGCTTATAAATGTGTAGATCGAGCAGATCTATAAACATTTGAAAATTGAGGATCCAGAAAATATTGGTATTTTGGTATTAAAAATGTGTGTGCATTTCAAAACAACATTATGATTTTCTTAAGCTGTTTTTTGTAGAGAAAAAACTGCTCCCACATTGAAGAAGAGAGAGTTAATTGAACAATGTTTAAGGGTAAGCATTTTCATGCTTTATACTCCTAGCAAAGGTGAGAGAGATGGTGCATGTGCAGAGGCGTGGGTGCAAGGGCACATGCTCGCATCGGTGTATGAGACGCCCAAGCATGTGTGCGGGTCAAGCTCGTAGCTTGATATCTTTTTGTGAGCCCGGCATCGAGGATCCAACGATCATCTAGCTTAGCAAAAGCCATCAAGTGCAGTAACTTGAAGCTATTTGGTGGTGCCACTACACTAAATGAGCAAGTGCATGTAACTTGTAATTATTGATGGTGAATGTAACCACTACTACACTAAATGGGTAACCTCTTAGTGCTCTATAGTAAAGGCCATACTACCCATACCAGTTGCATACTACAATAGGCAACATCTTAGTGCTCTATAGTAAGGACCATTCTACCCATACGAGTTGCATACTATAATAGGCAACCTCTTAGTGCTCTATAGTAAGGACCTTCCTACCCATAAGAGTTGCATACGACAATAGAGTATGTAACTTACGAGTTCCATACTACAATAGGCAACCTCTTAGTGCTCTATAGTAAGGACCATCCTACCCATAAGAGTTGCATACGACAATAGCGTATGTAACTTGTAGTTGTTGGAAGTGTATGTAACCACCACTACACTATATGGGCAGCATCTAAGTGCCCTATGATAAGGGCCCTCCTACCCATATGAGTTACACACTTGGAACATTTTTGAGTCTCTCAACAACACACCCTTCTCTGCAATTCTAGTGAGCAAAACCAGTGGGCTAATCTCTCTCTCTACTGGTTTTTCTCTCTGAAAAATATTAAGACTAGGGGAGCAAAACCAGTAGGCTAATCTCTCTCTATACTCTTTTTTTTCTCCTTCTATATCTAAAACATTAAGATTAGTATCTAGAGTTAGGGTTTCGAGCTTGCGTGCATAGAGCTTAGGAACCATCCCTCACCGTAAAAGGAAGAGCCACTTCGATGCTGGCCATCATATTGCAAATGCCTTTGATAAGATAATAGAGCGAAGCACTAATTGTGATAAGGAGAAGATGATACAAGCTACTAAAGAAGGTTCTTTTTACGACACTTGCTTAGAGGAATTGTAGGAGTTACAAGAATTTTTTGCAGTCGAAATGGTGAAACTTGTAGAAATTTTGAAGGATAAAAACAATAGAGTTGTATTTAATAAACTAATAGGATTAATTCGTGGGTAGTCGAATGCGAAACAACATTGCATGATATGTGGGCTAATTATTGTAACAGAAGATGCTAGTTTGTTAGTTGGTTGATGATATTATGATAGATCATATAAGTTCTATTTTTTTATATATGGGATTATGTATCTTTTTTTGTTTGTAAATAACTTCTTCACTATTAACTTAGTTTGGGATCATGTATCTATATTGATTTTCTAATGGAGCAAATTTCTTATATGAAATGCCAATAATCTTTCAATTCATAACAAATGGTCTCCCTCTATTTCTCTTGTGTAATCTTAATATCTAATGGATAATAAATTACAAGGAACCTAGACCAATAGAGATCCAAGAGAATAACCCACTATTTATCTAACCGGTCGGCTTCGCAATTTGATTCTCTCAATAAACCCGGTAAAACAGCATACAGTTCAGCATGGTTCGCTATAACATTGCTACACAGCCTGGAATATGAAATGATTATTGCTCCCTTACCATTTCTAGTCAAACCCAAGGTTTTAAATATTAGTGAATCGAAACGAAACTAGCCGGTTCGGATCATGAGTGTCGGGGCCTGTTCGGTTCTAACAAAAATATTGGAAACCATCCATTTTTGGCTGGTTCTTGTTAAAGGAAATTATATATTGTATATCCAGTTAATATAGAAAGTGTATATTGTAATCAGTAAATATGGGAAGGGTAGGATATTGTGTCTTATATTTTATAGTAAGTTTTTGTATAGTTTAAATGTCTCTGATTTAGTTTCTATTACTGACACCTGTAATTTGTCTATAAAAGACAAGTCTGTTCATATCAATTAAGGGAAAGGTTTCTCTACTTCCCCTATAGCATAGAAGATCTATGTTTCCCCTACCATCTAGCCGTCCAATTTTGATTAAGAGAGCGACTCATTGTTTGATCTTAGATCCGACGTCTCAAAGCATTTTATTTTTAGTTTTTTTTTTATACAAATTGTATGAATATGAAATTGCAAAATGCTATCAGAGAGAGCATCTGGAGTTTGAAAACTAATTGAAAAAACAAGCAGTTCAAACTTCAGCATGACCAGTAAATGTAGTGGTTGCTATGCTCAAATTGCTTGATCAACAAGCACAGACAGCAACGGTAGATCAACAAGCCTCAGGAACAGATGGCCTTAGGAACTGAGAGCCATATCAGAGTAGGCTCGATCAATTAGACAAAAATTCCAGAGAGAAA